GGATCAGGCATATAGTTCCATGTTTCTCGGATCTCGTTATCAAAGTTCATCAGTTCATGAATGAAGTGGCTGAGCAATTGAGGGTAGTTTGAGATCTGAGGGAGGAACAAGCTGATTTTCTGTCTCAGCATAGGAAACAATGCAGTAATGTAACTATGTGATGCATTGTAGAAGTTCCATTCCAGATTTGGACCGACTGCTTCGGCCCTTTCATCGAAGATGGGCTGTAGATAAGAGACGAAAAACCCGCCGTATTGATTGACAAGGTCCATTATGTGCGAGAGGAAATATTCCGGCTAGAACCCCAGTTAGAGTGCTTTTTCTGTGTAGACCTAGGGCGCATTACCTTATCCAGTCGGTTTGTTGGCTTGTCTCCACTAAAGTGGTATTTGAATCGGAGATCCAGATGATGCACCATAACCTCTAATGGGAACAGGACTGGTGGCTCGAAGCTCAATCCGGAAGCCAGAGCATCACGGCTTTGAAGTTCACTAAGCAGAAACTTGTTAGAATATGAATCCAAGCATGAAGGGACTGATCGTACGGTAATTGCAGGTCAATCAACAGTTCAACATCTTCCCTCCACCTGGTCAAGAGCTGGTCGGTAACATTCAATTGTTTTGTCGGCCATTTCAACTCTTCTAGCGTCTTCTGCAGCCGGTCACTAAAGTATTTCTTCATTTGTTGTTTCAATGCAGAGGCTAGTTTGTCCGTGTAGTCGACAAGATGAGGGGCCGCTCCTTCAGCAGCAGGCTGGGCATCTTTCAGTAGTTTGACGATGGTTCGTAGTCGGGTATACGGCTTCAAAGCGGAGCGTGGTTCGGAGGAAATGTCTGCCAAAGCTTGCTTGCTGTATTGCTGTCTCAGTATCAAGCCCCTCACGATTGGTGAACGGGGCATTACCTCAATTCCTCGGCTTCCTTGAGCAACTCCACATATCCCTTGGATAATTCAAGCCGCTGGAGCTTCTCCATGCTCTTTTCCAGACTCCGTACCGCCTCATCACTGGTTTCTGATTGCGTGATGGCCATTAATCGTCGGTCGATGTCCGCTTGCTCCTCGGTGAACGCCTCGGCTTGCTTTCGAGCGGCTTCGGCATGGTCGTTAGAGGCTTTTGTCGCATTTGAGAGTGCTTCGCCGGCTTCTGCTAGCTATTTGACCGCGAGTTCGCATCAGTAACGTTTAGAGAGAAGGTCGGTGTTGGGAGGGGTGGTACCTGCTTCCGCTGAAGCTCCTGTTGCGCGCGCAGACTGGCTAGCAGCGAATCTAAACTCTCCAGGTCGGCAGAAACCTGAATCTTGTCATTTAAATAATCTTCAACCCGAGTCCGCTCATGCGAAGATAATTTCGTGAGGGACGCCATTGTTGAAGGAGGAAACTTGGCTGCGGAAGCGCAAGGTGTCGCGAATGTTGATCTCCGCCTTTTGGACTGACGTCTTCCGCAGTGGCAACCCTGAGCTCTCCCACTATCAACACTTTGAATAATGCCCAGTCCAGCCAAGAAGCGGAAAAGAAATGGAGATTCGTCGCAGCCGACGCGCAGTATTAAGTCGTTCTTTAAAGGGCAGACCACCGAACAAATCAATTCGAATGTCCCCGATGTCACCGGGCAGACTCTCTCCGATGAAGCTCTTGCGCGCAAGCTACAGGCTGAGTGGAGTGAGCAGGAAAACGAAAACACTCCTACCGAAGACACAAAACCAGATCTGCAGGTCAATACAGTTCCATCTACATTAGACTCGCCTGTTCCACCCCCTGTAGCGCCGGTGATACCAAGAAAGAGCACTCTCTCACTACAGTCATCAGCTGGTACGGAGGATACAATATCCCTTGCTATTCCTCTTGACCAAAGCCCCCAGACGTTCGATGCCAGCAAATACGCAGCAGAACTGCGGTCGCATTGGGCAACCGAAGGCGGAGATGCTTCTTACGCTTTATTAACGAGAGCCTTTGTCTTGGCGAATGCGACGACCAGTCGAATAAGGATCGTCGATACGCTGGTCAACTTTCTTCGTGTTCTGATTGAAGGGGACCCATCGAGCGTCTTGCCTGCTGTGTGGCTAGCGACCAATTCCATATCACCTCCATATGATGAATTAGAGCTAGGGCTGGGGGGCTCTTCCATCTCTAAGGCATTAAAAAAGATATACGGCCTCAATAATCAAGGGCTGAAGACCCTTTACGATAAGCACGGCGATGCAGGAGATGTTGCATTCGAGGCCAAAAAACGACAATCATTCACACTGGTGAAGCCGAAGCCGTTACGAATCAAGGGAGTATACCAGTCACTGAAGAAAATTGCCACTAGCAAAGGACCTGGTAGCCAAGAAACCAAGCAAAGGATCGTTGAGAAGCTTCTACAGGATGCGCGCGGCGCTGAGGAAAGTCGATACATTGTCCGGACGTTGGTCCAGAATCTGCGAATTGGCGCAGTCAAGACGACGATGTTGATTGCTCTCGCACGAGCTGTCTTATATTCCAAGCCGGTCGGGGCAGATTTCGAAGTTCGTCCGCCGAATCAACTTGCACGCTTGAAGAAGGACGAGCTTGCGGAAATATACAGCAGTGCGGAAGAAATCGTCAAAGCGTCATATGCTAGACATCCCAATTACAATGATTTGGTGCCCTGCTTATTAGAGATCGGGCCTACAGAGGAGCTTTTGATCAGATGCGGCCTATCCATGCACATTCCACTAAGGCCGATGCTGGGCAGTATCACACGCGATCTGTCGGAGATGTTGACGAAGCTCCAAGGCCGAGACTTCAGCTGCGAGTACAAGTACGACGGGCAACGCGCACAGGTACACTGCGACGAGCAAGGGAAAGTTTCTATCTTCTCGCGCCATCTTGAACTCATGACGGAGAAATATCCAGATCTTGTCTCCCTGGTCCCGCAAATCCGGGGGGAGGGCGTGTCCAGCTTTATCCTAGAGGGCGAAGTAGTTGCCGTGGACCGTGAGACTGGCGATCTTCAGCCATTCCAGGTTTTAACCAATCGTGCAAAGAAGAACGTTGAAATCGGAGACATCAAGGTCAATGTCTGTCTTTTCGCATTCGACCTCATGTATCTCAACGGCGAGCCTTTGCTAGATCGCCCCTTCCGAGAACGTCGCGAACTACTTCGCAGTCTCTTTGTAGAGATCCCAAAACACTTCGGCTGGGTGAAGAGCATGGATGCGACATCAGTGGATTCCGAATCCGTCCTTGAGTTTTTCAAATCTGCCATCGATGTCAAATGCGAGGGTATTATGGTCAAACTCCTCGATAACAAGCCCAGTGCGAACACCCAACAAGTCAACAACAAACTCTCCGACGAAATAGCTGCCATAACCACCGAGCAACCAAACCAAGCAATATACGACCCAATAACCAACCCCAACCCCAAAGCCAAACCCACCCGACGCAAGCCCCTCCTCTCAACCTACGAACCGGACAAACGCCTCGAATCCTGGCTCAAAGTTAAAAAAGACTACAGCACATCCTCCGAAACACTCGACCTAATCCCGATAGCCGGGTGGCACGGCCAAGGACGCAAAGCGAAATGGTGGTCCCCGATCCTAATGGCAGTACGCAATCCAGAAACGGGATCCCTGGAAGCCGTAACAAAATGCATGTCTGGGTTCACGGACAAATTTTACCAAAGCAACAAAGAAAAATACGCACAGGGTAGCACGAATGTAATCTCGCGCCCCAGTTACATCGAGTACCCCGGCGAACCAGACGTGTGGTTTGACCCGAGCGAGGTGTGGGAAATGGCTTTCGCGGATATCACGCTCAGTCCCACGTACCCGGCTGCTATTGGGCTGGTTAGCGATGAGCGTGGGTTGAGTCTGCGCTTTCCACGATTTATTAAGGTTCGTGAGGATAAGTCGATTGATGAGGCTACCTCGTCGGATTACCTAGCGTTGCTGTGGCGCAAGCAGATGGAGCGGACTGGGGATGTTGCGGAGGTTGGGGAAGTTGGTCTGGAGGAGGGAATGGAGTAGATGAGCTTACTTGTTCGTGTAAACAGAAATCCTGTGGATTGCCCTTTCGATTTAGTCTTGCCTTGGTACTCCGTACACGCCTTAATGTGTTGGCAGGTGACCCTCCTTCAATGACATAGAATGTCAATAGAAGACACATAGATATGACAGTGAGAATGACTAGTGTATTTGTCGATAAGGAAGCGGGAATGAGTCGTGCATTATGAAAAAGGGAGAGATCTTCTCGGATCCTGTCACACGAGAGATGCAAGATGCATCCCAACCACACCGTAAGTGTCCAGACTGCTGCATGTCAAATATTCTATATGATTGACGTATTCTACTCAATCTAATAAAGTCCTTCCAATTTCAATTGATCCTTGGCTACATGTAATGTCCAAGATAAGCCATCTGGCGTGTTTACCTTTTGAAGTCAATTCTACACAAGTTTATTAGAATCATACCCGACTATATCTTTAACGAAGTACGATTGAAAGGAGCCCCATAGGGCCGCAGTTAATGCACCAATAGGTAAGGAGTAACAAGATCGGGCCGGTTAAAAGCAACTAAAACATTTCTATGCGAGTTCATCTCGACGCAGAATGTTCGGGATTTGAAAACATGCAGGTTGGCACAGCCAACCAACTCCATAAACAGCACACCCTAATAGCCCCAGTAGCCCCCGCTTATCTATAGAAATAACCATTCAGCGCCGTCCACGCTCGAACACCTGCAAGATAGATTGCTGACACCATTACCACGTTCTCGTAACTCGACACTGGTAGGTCGCACAACATCCACCACAGCACTCTCCAATACAGCCCTAAGACTGCCGTGTGCAGCAGAAACTCATACACGGCAGCCAATCTGTAAGACCCCCACGCAAACCTCTCTGTCAGATAGCAGTAAATCCTTGCTGCCCGATATCTCCTACGCATGCCCAAGGAGCAGTTGGAATCGGTGAAAGCATCCATGAAGGTTCTCAGTCCCGACTCTGTTTTGCATGCAGCGAGACTTGCAGGTTCGACTGGAACCTCAGCGGAGACTTGAGTCAAGGGGGGGTTGAGATACCTTGGCGTTAGGCGAGTCTGCTGCTGATTCAATCAATCTCTGCAACATGGCTGGATCGGATGTCCATAGGCGCTGGGATACCGGATCAGAGATCTGGGGGAAGTTCTCCATTTCGGCGAAAACCCCAGTTTTGGCATCTGCGTATTTCAGGATATTTGTATAGAACTGGGGTGTAAGAGGCTGTACTTCGAGGGTAGGGGGAGGCGCGGAGGTAAAAGTTTTGGCTGGGGAGTTCATTGTCATGGGGTGGAGATGTAGTGATTTGGCAGGTGTATAGATCACCGTCAAGGGAAAAGGGCATGTCTTCACAAGGTGGGAGAGGTACAGCCGGAAGAAAGGCTCCAAAACCCTGCAGGAATCGTTAGAAAGTTAAAAAGAGCAAAGGAAATCTGAGCAGACCTCTCTGTTTCCGAGGCATTACGTGGGATGTTTCCCTTCTTCACGTCCGGTTTGTTCAAGTAAGGCATATTGCCTCTGAATCGAATACGGAGTGCCTCTACCACAATCCGACCAATCGATACTGGCACAACAAATGACCAGCTGAGAAGAAAGCTCGCCAGCTCCCGAGACGACACCAGAAGAGGGTCAATTGGAGCAGCAACGGAAAAGAGACGACTAGAGATCTTGGGCTTGCCAGAGGTGCTCATAAGGGTCATATTGGAGTGGAGAGGGCCGCCTTTCTCAGGTGCTGGATCTAATGGATCCATGAAACGAAGGGCAAATCCGCCTTCAACTTTCTCGAAAGGTGAAGCAAAGATGTCTTTCTCCCAGCTGCCCTTGTAGTACTTGGCTGTGGGAGCCGATGATGTGAACCGGACGAGTTGATCACCATGAGGCCCGCTTCCTGAAACAGTGCTGAAAACCTCGCAAGCTTTCGATTTCTCGTAACAGGAAGAGTCTTCCTTGGTTAATCGACAGAACGCGTTCTTCTTTTCGCCGTATGAGTTGTTGATTTCCATGATGATACCACTGAGCTCTTTGAGAGGCGAGTAGAGATACCAATAAGATATCGGGCTTTTAGCCCACCAGAGAAACTGAGGGATGCTGATGAGATATGCATAAGGATAGTGGCTTGGATTCTCGCCCTGAGGGTGTTAACATATTAACATATTAGCACCAAGGTATATATATTTTTCAGGGACTAACGTACCCGTTCTTTCAAGAAATGTTCTAGTTTTGCGGCCAAGGTTAGATGACCATCTCCACGGTGAAGATACCAACTAGTGTCAATTCTGAACCAAAGTGGGATCCGAAAAACCCTCTTCACAAAAGACTGGAAAGGAATTGTGACTGGGGTGTGTTGGTTTGATTGATCACTTTCAATGGACATCACAGCCCCAACACGACCTCCAAGTCCAACGGGAACCCCAACGAGGAAATAGTTGATCCAGTAATGGTACTTCTCTGGAAAGAAGCGAGCATGGGTTAGACGTGCTGGGTAGAGTAGAGGTCTTCCCAGTAGCGTTTTCTCAACTTTGGGATCTCCATCAGACCACAAGACCAACTTCCGCCGGACAAATGCTGCCATCGAGACCCAAACAAGCAGTGTACTACTAACAGCTAGTAGGAAGAAAGGTATAAGTATCTTTACAGTCTTGATCCAACCAATGTGGTGAAGGATATCCACCAAGATAGGGAAAAAGACGATAAACATGTTGGTTCTGACCGGACCCTTGTGATAGTGGAATGACGGGATAGAAATTATAGAGACGAAGAAGCTAATACTTGTTGCCGCGTAAACTTGGAAAGAAAGGCAAGACATATATCGGGCCAAGAGCAAATTGGTATTTGATACAAGAACATGAGGCTGGTCGATGCCGGACTATTCGACAGATTACTACGACCCAATATATCTTCTATTGGCTAGCACCGACACTCACCGCAATATTTGCGCATGTCAGTCGCATGGAACTACCGAATGGTGTATAAAACGACGATGCATCTTGACAGAATGGGTGTTGTTACAGCCAGATCGGGTTGTGTGCGTTGGGTCCTTGAGTATACAAAGTGGGTTATTTAGATTCTACGATCAAATACGAGAAGATCAACCTATACATACCTTGCTTTAAGTAGTTCCTTTCTAAACAAACTGTTCTTATCTTCCTAGATATGCCGAAGGGGTGTAGTGGATGGCTCCTTAACTGGTGCATGAACTATCACTGTGTAACTACGTATGCACGCAATACTGAGATATATGATTCTATATCAATATCAAAACAACTGAGAATGACAGTTTTAGGGAGATATAAGTTCAGCCTCGAGAAATTACTAGGGAAATTAGGCAATCTCCTTCTCATTCAGCTTGAAGATTAATCTCTCACTTTGAATTTTTCACTATGGTTTCCTTTGAGAAAAACATTTCCTCCAAGGTTCTCATCATTGGAGCTGGCTTTTCCGGTCTAGCTACGGCTTGTCAGCTTCGAAGAGAGCACAATTGTGATGACTATGTCATCTATGACCGCTCATCTGCTCCAGGAGGGACTTGGTGGGCAAATAAATGTTAGTTGGTTGACTTCTTCTCCTTTTTCTTTAATTTTTTTATCTAACATGACATTGTAGATCCAGGATGTGCCGTGGATATCCCAGCGGTCTTCTACAGTCTATCATTTGCCCCAAACCCCGACTTCTCGAGAGTCTACCCCCCTCAAGCGGAGATATTGGAATACTTCAACAAAGTTGCGGACAAGTATGATGTCTCTCGACACGTCGTTCGTAATACAGAGTGGGAAGGGGCCTATTGGCAAGAGCAGACAAGCAGCTGGTTGGTCAAGTTAAAGGACTTGACCACAGGTCAAATATTCTACCACGACTGCAAGATCTTGATATCTGCTGTTGGAGCCTTGGTAAACCCAAACCGATTTGGCGTTTCGGGCGTCGAAGACTTTGAAGGCGATATAGTTCATACCGCTTCATGGAAAGAGGATATGTCTCTTCACCAGAAAGACGTGATTGTTGTTGGCAATGGATGTGAGTTGCACCTTTTCCCTCTCTTTATCATAAGGACATGTCGCCAACGATTGACCAGGTTCGGCTGCTCAGCTCATTCCCGCTATTGCTAAAGAAGCTCGAAGCATCACTCAATTCATTCGGGTAAGACATGCCTTTCACTTGTAGTAGTTGTCCATCTCTCATTATTCCAGACCCCCCAATTCTATTTGCAAAATGAAAACAGGCAAATTGACGACAACTGGAAATTCGTTTTTCGCTATGTGCCCGGTGCTCTGCGTTTATTGAGACTGGCTGTGTTTCTCTATTTGGAGAGCACAGCTGTCAGATTCAGTATTAATCGTAACGGAAACAAAGCGAGGAATCTATCATCGGAGAGAAGCAAAGCTTACATTCAGAGGAATGCACCTGGTGAGTTCCATTCAAGACGACTAATTTGTCAACCCTTTTGCTTACTATTGTGGAATGAAAGAGCAATATTGGCCCCTTTTGACGCCGAATTACGAGATCGGATGCAAGGCAAGACTGCAGAACTAAAACCGATCCTGAAATACCTACTAAGTCTCCTTTCAATGTAGCGCCGGATCTTTGACAACAATAAGTATATCAGCTGCCTGCAAGCGAGCAACATTCATCTTACAGATGACCCCATTGTCAAGGTTTCATCTCATTCGATTTTCACCAAGTCTGGCCAGGAATACCCGGCAGATGCAATTGTAAGTTACCTACTACAAACCTCAGACACCTGTTCTCCCAGCTAATCCCTATTCTTCTCAATACAGCTACTTGCCACCGGATTCGCCCTGACACAGTACGATGTCGAGCTGGTAGGACGGAACGGCTGGACCCGGAATGAGCATTGGGATAACTTCGGCTACAAGGAGGCATACAAGTCTACTGCGATGTCCGGATTCCCCAATTTCTTCTATGTTCTGGGTCCCAACTCTGGTAAAGGCCACACATCTGCCATTTACTCCATTGAGAAGTATGACAAGTTGTTCTTAGCCCGCTCTTTTCAGATCATCCCGGCTAATATGGACGCAGCTACGTCAACCTTGTTATGAAGGTGATTGCGCCGGTTATTCAAGACCGCTGTTCGTTTGTTGAGGTCAAGGCCGACAGTGAGAAAGATTACAATGTGAATTTGCATGAGAAAATCGCCACGACGATCTTCAACAACTCATGCGGGAGTGTAAGCCAAAACATCCCATATTCTTCTGGTTGGGATTGTATGGATCTGATACTCAGCTGGCAGTATTTCATCGACTACAAGACTGGGAAGAACTGGTTCACCTACCCATGGAACTCATTTGCCATGTGGTATTCCACCCACTGGGGTGATTTAGATGACTGGATATACGATGTACGTTGGTTAATGAAGCTTCTGATTGATGAGCCGAAAAGATTGACTTGTGAGTGCTATAGGTCCGACCTGACAAGAACCACCGGGTGTTCTGTTTCAGTCATCTGCTACTCCTACTTGTGGTCAGCCTTATTTCTTTTGGGTTCACCATGGTAGTAAAGGAGAGATATCAATGAAGAAAGAAAAAGACATGGAGAACACAGGATAGAGACGGGGGATATAGTGCCAATCCATCCATGGATGTAGCCTTATATGACATCACATTTGACTTTCAATATCATCTCTGATTGGCCCAAACCCTCTTAACCCGCAACGCGAAATTGATGCGAAAAGACGCGACCGGATTGGACGCGAAAAAAATGAGGGGTTGGCTACGTGGTCCAAGGAAAACAGGCGCTTTTTAAGGCGAAATGGTGAAGTAGATGCTGGGCTGGCATGCTGTCCATTAAGATATTAAAATATCTAGGTTTTGTGTGTTTGAGGCCAATAAGCACGATAAAAAATGAGCTGGTTAGGTGAACTATGTGTGTGTGGGGGGTTTTTTTTTTTTTGAAAGGTATTGAAGTACACGTATGTTCTCAAGGTTGAACATATTCCATTTCATCCTCCATCTCCTTATATCAAGACAAGAGCCATGCAGAAATATCAAACGATCTCATAAAAGGCATGCTGGGTGCAAAGGGAGAAAGAAATAGGAAGAAAGAAAGAAATAGGAGTGAACAGTGCAATTGCCGAGGGCAAACAATGACATAGAAAAAGCAAGATTGATGAATGAGAGGCAATGCAAGACATTATAGTTAGCAAAGCATTTGGGAAAAAGAAACGCCTGTGGATGCAAGTCCAGGTAGAGGCCTTCCCGATCGAGACTCAGGTCTGACCTCGAAAGAGTGAGGCTCTACACTGGGGAAAGGGGGCAAATTACATAGGGGATGAACACAATGTGTACGTAACATGATCATAAGAAAGTCGTCAATGGGTTTAAGAGGGAGGTAAGGCAAAAATGAACAGAGAAGAGAAAATGGAGAAACACAGGGTTTTACGGGTGCAGTTCGCCGCCCAGTTGTAACGCCAGTCCCGTTTCCTTGCGCAGTCGAGGGCTGGAGTTGCTTGGAGGAACTAGGGCATCGAAGTTCAATCGCTTTCGGTTGCTGGTAAGCGGAGTGCGAGCAGGATTGCCTGGGGTGCGCCCACCCCAGGTCGGTTGCGCCGGGCTAGGGGTCACGTTGACGAAATCAGCAAAATTGAATTGCTGATTTGGTGTGCTGATGTTGGCAAACATGCCACCACCCAGTGTAGGTGTCATGCCTGGCAGTACTGCATGCTGGCTGGGAGGAGTGGAAGGTGGGAAGGCCTGGTTTCCGTTGCCCCTTGCAACCCGAGCAGGGGTCGGTGAGTTGGCGAGGTACAAGAGCAAGTCTGCACCGTCCTCGTGGTTCTGAGGCTGGTTGCGGGGCAATCGCATGTGTTTTGGAGGAGGGGTTCGTGGAGGAGATGAGCCTACGACCGAGCTCATGTTCTGGAAACTGTGCAGCGGCAGATCGGGATCGATCTCTTCTGACGGCCTAGGATATATAGGCGATGACATCTCTGGGATCGTCGCCTCAGACATGAAGGGGGCTTGTGTGCGTCGACTCGCACGGTGTCGGTTCATGCCAGGGGAGGATTCCGGCAGTCGGTAAGAACTCTTCCACGACACCCGGGGTGCCTTGGCAGGGCGTTCGGAATCGGAGTCAGACCGTAGGCGTTTTCGACTGGCAGACAGAATAGGCTGCATGACTCGAGAGTTGAAGGTAGCGGCATGTTTATTGCGGGCGGATCGAGGGAGCTCCTTGGAGTAGGTGGAGGCTTGGAGGGGAGGGGAGGTGAAGGGAGTCTCGCAACGACTGCGTGAGAACTCGGATGAAGAGTCGGAAGGCTTGTCACTCTCGAGAACGGGTCTGTCATCCTGCTGGTTCGGGTTCAGGCCATGCAGTCGACCATGTTGGTACTTGAGTTTGGCAAGGCCCAATCGATCCTGCAGACTGAGAGAAACCTGTGCAAAGAGAATCCAGGGTCAGTCCCACGTCATCAACAATATCATTTGGAAGCATTAGGATACAGTGGCAAGTATTTAGACCAATAGCCAAGACCACGTCTCAAAGGATCCGCAGCCTCTCATTTCTTAATTTTTTTTGGGATCTCTTACCTGGGCGATATCGATTTTGCGGATTGGTTTTTTCTGCCGAGCCCGGCTGCGATAGAGGCATTGTATCAGGAAACCAATAAAAACAAGCACGACACCCCTATGCGAGGAAAAAAAAAGAAAAAAGAACAGACGTTTCGAAGAGTCGAGGTTGGGGTTTGGGGCGAGCAAGGGCGAAAGGGAAGGGGAGATTGGCGAAATGCGGGAACTCCGATAATTCTGGAGAAGCACTTGAACAGATTGGGAACAGATTGGGATTGAAAGAAAGAAAGCCAATTCCTATTCGCTGAAATTGGCAGTAAGAATAGATGGGGAAGAACATGTCATTTCTTATTTTTCGTTTTTATTTTTTTTCTCTTGAATCTGTCAATTTTCTTCTAGACTACATGTATATTATCCATTCTATCTGGACTATTCTGTATTTGGTGTCCCTATACAGTACACATGCACACATGTGCATGTATACAACTTCCTCTATATAGTCCAATTTAATAATCCTTACAACACCAATTGATGGTTTAATTATTCTATTATTTCATGTCAGAATTGTTTGTTACAAAATCGATATATCCAATTTAGTTCCCTGAATCCCATTACTACTCCGTATACTCCGTACAGTTTCGTCTAAAGATCTTTACTATGTATTCTCAAAGAAGAAAAATGTTTTTCCGCAGATTCCAGGATCCCCATAGAAACGAGGCATGCAGTTCCAGATTCCGATCCACCTGGATTGAAGAATGGAGTCGTAAGTCCTCTAAGGTATGCTCCAGATCGCCGGAAGCATTTCATATACCTTAATGTGTTCGGAGTAATCAAATTCTGGGGAAATAGGAAGGAAATGGGGGGGTTTAGAAGTAGTAAATTCCCTGAAATTGAAGGAAATAAAAAGAAATAAATTCGTGTTGGGGCCGTGAGCTGTAACTACAATAGTACATATATGTAGCCATATATGCAGCCCAGACAGGAACGTTTCAAGATTCTAATATTGGATTTTGACACTAGCCACCTACGTAATTCGAAAATCCAAGCATTCCCGAAAAGAAAAGACATAATTTCAAGCTTTATAGAAAACTGGAACATCAAAAATATGGCATAGCCATACCTCCGTACTCCGTCCCCGGTGAGGGTATGTGAGCTCTCCCCGAGATCTAAGCTAAGAACATTAGTGCGATCCGATCCACAACTGAAACATTACGACTTAAAAGAGTTTGAGCTGAGCTGATAACAGAATAATAAGGAGCTTTAGGCCATTGAGAGTACGCGTAATGCCCTGAAGGACAAGGGCTTTTGAAAAAAAGTACTCTATAACTAGTTAGTGTTCCTTATTAATGAATTAGTATTATTATTATTATTTTCGAAGCTAAGGGGAATCTCTGATCTTCGATCTTTTCCTTCTTCAAATGTTCTCAATTCACTTCTAAATTAACAAAACCAGAATCCATCCCCCTTCCCCCCCCCTATTTGGTTACTGGCGGGGCGACTCGTCGTCAACCGCAAACGGTTACCCTGTTCCTGACAATTTGCCCGCCTTAAAAAAAAACAACTGGGTAGCTTCGTCTTTTCTCTCCTCTCAACCTCGCCATGCCGTTCTTCAGAGACCTACGGCGTCGATCAAAGGCCACTTTTCACAAAACTCCATCCCATAGTGTGGAGGAGGTCTCCGGGAAATCATCATCCACGGTCGACACTTCCTCCCACAGCTCCATCACTCCACCATCATCCATCAAACCGACCCTTTCAACCCCCAGTCTTCCTGCTCTCAATGAATCCGAAACCACCAGTGCAGTCAGCGTAGCCCCGCCTACACAGCGACCGGGGCCTGTGGTGTCCAGTTCTCAGCGAAACAGCGTTATCGTACGTACCCATACTCATTCCCGCGACAACTGACAACACTGACTCCGATCGTTTGGCAGGGTAGTAGCTCGTCCTCAGTCAATGGCGTGTACCGATCACAAGCTCCCGTCTCGCCTTATGCCCCGAGACTCGTGTCTGTGGCTGATAATTCATGGGTATGTCCAGCTGATAAGGCCGGAACCGGAGGCACATATTGTTCTCTGGTAAAATGAAATCAATTGTCTGACTATCGTGGCAGGTCAACCAGAAAGTGCTGCTCGTATATGGTCAAATCGGCGACCCAAGGCAACATCCGCTGGACGGAAACGTCACCGTCTATCACCACCAAGATAATTTCCCGTCGACCGGCTGGCCCGTCACGGCATCGCATTTTAAAGTCCTCGTTCACCTAGTTCCCGGTCCTAATCGCCTTCGCTTTGACTTTGTCTCGCCAAAATTGTCCACGGGCAGCACCCACCCCGCCATCCACTCCTCCTGGATTTGTATCAACTACCTGCCTCTGGTCAACAACCCGCCATTGCAGCTGGTCATACTCCTGGGGAAAGACTCAGACGGTACATACGATGCAGTACCGGAAAGGGCAGAGCGCGAAGGAAATGGGTTGGAAATGGCCATTCGAAAGTACCGCATGGCAGCTTATCTCTGGCAGGCCTTCACTGGTGAACAAATGTTCCGCAATAATTTCGGGCGGCGTTGTTTCCGATTCGAGGAAGAGTGGCAGTCGGGTAGCTTGAGTCGTCGCGACTTGACCCAAGGCCAGATGCGGAATGAGGCCAAGATTCACGTAGTCCGCACTGAGAAAACAGTGACCGAACTCCGAGATCTCAATATTGCTCAGCAGAATGAGAAAGCCGAGAGGAAAGACGAGCTGTTTGCCATTGCTAAAGATGCGGTGCGAAATCATTTCCAGCCCCAGCCCGGCCAGAAGCAATACGTCTCCGTTCTCCTCCTCGATTCTCATTGGGACACCCAATCCCAGATGATCACCGGCCATGCGGCGTTAGGTTCGGCTGACGACGATATCAAAATGGCCATCTTCGGGTCTCATTGTCTCCAAAGCTATCCATCATGTTTGGAAGAAGTCGTGGATGCTTTCTCAGACTGCACCCGCACGGATACCAACCATATTGCCAATGACTG